AGCTAATTCATAACGCCATTCGTGTTGAACATGTAACGGATATTACTTCATACGTTTACACGCGCACCACCTCCTGTACAAACTTGACAGAGAACGGTTCTCTATGAACGGTTCTATGTTCATGATAACTGTCTCTTACAGTAATATGTAGAGTTTCAAGTTAGGGTTTAGTACTACGGAAGCGTAGTAGGGCCACGGTGAAAAATGTTTGGGCTCACTATCTCCTACGTAGGACTTAATATCTCCTACGTAAGGCATATTTTCTCCTACGCGGGACAAATTATCCCCTACGTAGTACTTAATATCTCGTATATACGTAGGAGATGAGCGATATATTAATAGACATTAATCTGATATGGTCGACTTAGATCCGCAGACATATATATATATATATATATATATATATATATATATAGTTATATATCCGCAGACATATATATATATAGTTATATATAGTTATATAGTTATATGATTTTTCTACTGGAGTATATCATCCGAGTATTCTATGTGCTGCACGTCCACGTGAACTCATTATTCGTATCATCAAAAGAGCCTGACAAAGAAAGCAGTATTACGCAAGCTAACACGCCTTATTAAGCTGCACTCGCTCTTGCTACCAGTATCAGTTACGTCTTGTCTGCGGTGTTGGCAGATCTCTGTGAGGTGCTTGTTTCGAGGGATTAAAAGGTTCAGTGATGAACAAAGGGCGATGAGGTGCCTCTTGGTCCTCTCAAGTGTCCCTAACTGTCCCAATAGAATAGCACTTTATTTCTGTTACATCCTCGATAATCTCCAGGGTATACGTTACGATCACTCTCCGCTATACCCTGGATGCATCCACGGCTTAGGGCGATGATTTTATTACCTCAATTGGCTGGCTTTTTATCCAATCAGGTACCTACGCTGGGAAGTTGAGCGTACCAATCAAAATTCACTTTCGCTTCTTAAATTATCTAACCGTTAAAACTTGGCAACACAATTGATGCAGAGGTACTCTCAAAGAAGTAGAAGGAGTTCTTTCATATATTTTTAAAGTTTCAGATCTGTCAATTTTTCTTTATTATTTCCCCAAAATCTGAGTGGCACTGCGAACAAAACTTCGCGACTGCGACCGCTATCCTTGTTGACACTGGCAAGCTCGGTTGTAACGGCGGCTTAGCTGATTGGCTACTGTGAGAATGCGGAGCCAGCCAAGGGAGGTAATAAAATCATCGCCCTAAGCCGTGGATGCATCCAGGGCATAGTGGAGAGTTATCGTAACGTATACCCTGGAGATTATCGAGGATGTCTCTCTTAGAGCACAGCCAAATATGCTACACGTACCAACTCGTAATTCTTAAGTCTATCCAGCTCACTACTGTAAAATATTTTTTGTCAGTACATAATTGGAATATTATTGCGCTGCATGTGACCTTTCTTAATAGTCTAACAGTGCCGGAACCATTATATTTCTCCTTCCGCTCAGCCTTTGCTGTAATAACGCCATACATCAGTTTTAAGTTCACCACATTTGTTTCACTAACGCAAAAGTATGCGACAAGAAACAATGCCATCTCAAATTAATAAAAAAACAGTAGTGTTTGCATCGAAAGGATCGAATAACATCTAGTGTGTGAAATGAGAACATATATGTTTAAATTGTTAAATTACCTCAATAAAATAGGTTAAATGGAGCCAAGGAGTTCTGTTTGCATTACCTTCGTGGTGACTTGGCCACACTGGCCTTTTTTCTTTCTTTGTGGCTTAATGCCATATTTCAGCTATATGGCGGCGGTCTGTAAATAATTGAGTCTGGACCAGATAATCCAGTGATCGACATTTTGAGCCTCGCTATACGCAACTGGAATACGTTGACATGCGTCAACCAAGTCAGCGAGCCTGACCACCCGATCCAGTAAATCACCTCTTATGACCAGCATGGGTTGCTGAAGAATTCTAACCCCGATTTTCACAGGATCGGCACTCAATCTGAGGAGACCACAGTATATTGCCCATGAGTTGACACGGTTTATATGTATTAGCGTATGGCTGACTACCTAATTCACTGGGTACAACTTTCCTCGACGTGATGTGAATCTAGATACATGACTGAACCTGATATTGAGTATCAGCTTGGAACTAAGATTGCAATAACGTAACATGAACACATACGTATACGTTCATGTATGTGTTTATAACGTATTTCAAAGGTAAAAGCAAACTTCTGAAAAGCATAAAATTGGAATTTTGGTGAAGAGCTGTGTTTTGAGCTGTGTTAGTTGTATGCTAACCAACGTACCTTGCCGGGAGGAACGTCAACATTGGCTGCTTTGATGAAGTCATCATAGCGACTGTAACTTACATTACACGCAGGTTGGAAGGCGAATGCAGAGATGAACATATCTGCCAGAGCAGAACAGTTTCTAGGTGTAGATACCCTGGAAAAACAAACCTTTACAGGAAATCATTTTAAGATCCTTTAAAAAACAATGTTCGGTTGTAAAGCCTAATGGTTAAAGCGTTCACGGTGAAGACGAGGGTTCGATTCCCCAAATGGGTACAATGTGTGAAGTCTATTTCTGGTGTCCCCGCTGTGATATTGCTGGAATATTGCTAAAAGCAGCGTAAAACTAAACTCGCTCATTCACTCACTCACTCTATTATCACAAATTGTGGTAAGATAAAAAACTATTGCATTTTAAAGGTGTTTACACATGACAATACAATAAAACCTCTTAACTTCTACGTTAAATGTTAAACATTGTTGCAGATTTACAATTGTATAATAAGATTATTATGTGAGTTAACTTTTCAATGGACAGTCTGTGAAGATTGTAAATACCGCGTGTGTGTACTTTGTCTTTCTGTTCAGACTGTAATATAGACAGTAATATAGACATAAGGTAATATAGACATAAGGTAATATAGACATAAGGTAATATAGACATAAGGTAATATAGACATGAGGTAATATAGACATAAGGTAATACAGACATAAGGTAATACAGACATAAGGTAATATAGACATAAGGTAATATAGACATAAGGTAATATAGACATAAGGTAATATAGACATGAGGTAAGCAGAATGTTTGCTTTCAGATGATATACCGGGGATAAACCTCATGTATGTCTGATAATATTATTTGCACGTCCTGATATAGGTACTGTCCTGTTAGCAACCAACCAACATTCCCACATGCAACCGACCGCTCCAATAAAATATAATGAATGAATGTTTATATTTCCTCCACTGATCACGGAAAGTACAATTTTACAGTGAGTGAGTGAGTTAAAGTTCATAGTCACAGCGGCAGTATTTCAGCCATATCGGACACAATTATTACAAATACTATTCATGTTCAAACAATATATATAAAATTGGAATCGTGGAACCATGCCTCTCACAGAGAGCATCCTCCCTTGTCAAACTTTGGTCTTGTGGACATGGCGTCCGACCTCAAGAAGGTCCACCACGGGATTTGGACATTTTATGGCCAGAACATTGGCGCTCAACGTTAATATCATATTTGAGCAAATAACCAATACCAAATAAGCCTCAGTGCCCTACGATAGAGCAGGGCGTGGAGTCATGGACACAGGTGGCATCCTCAGCTTGTCACCTCTTTTCTATTGGTCATGTGGACAAAGCGTCCGACCTCGGAACAGAAGGTCGGAGTCGGACATTTTATAGCCGCAATATATGCAATGTATAATTCACAATGCCATTTAGAAAGTTGTCGAAAAAAATCCATATGCTATATTTGAACCCACAGGCGCCTAATCGCCAGCACACAGAGTCAGCCATCTAATCCACTGAACCATCATGGATTCCAGTGGAAGGGACTCAACCAAACCCAAGTGCTAGAATCTGTACTTTACTGCAAAAGTGCAATCCCACATATAACATATGTTATAGGTGTATAATTCAGTTACCCTGATTCAAAGTAATGTAATTCAATTTACGAAACTGCTAGTCTAACTTCAAACAGGGTAAACGGGTTCAGAAGTAATGTAACGTAAATTGCTAGTCTAACTTCATACAGGGTAAACGAGTTCAGAGGTAATGTAATGTCAACAGCTAGTCCACCTTACCCGCTCACACAGAAAGCTCCAGGGTTGATATTTGTCTGGTAGTCGATACACCTCCCAAACACCAGCTCCCGTATTTCAGGAGTTGTTCCCTTGGTTACACACTGACCATCGGCTAACACCTGGTATGTGACCAGTGTCAGGATCACTGCCAGTGAGTTTGTCTGTAACAGCATTCTGATGACCATCAACGGTTAGTTAGACTCGGTCATGGATATCTACTGCATTGATGTTGCTCGGTTCAATCCTGATGATAGGTAAAGGCCGGTTCTGCCCCACCTGAACGACGCAGCCGAGCTAATTATAGAAATGCGTCATGACAAGGTGTGGCGCAATACACGGGCTATGTATAGTAGAGGGAATCCCTTGACTAAAGATAGCGAGAGAATCTGACGTGATTGTTTCATCCTCTCTGAGGTTAGAAGTGAAAAACTAGAGATAACAAGAAGACAAAGTCTTCCCTTGAGAGGGAAACTGGGTCGAACATAGCGAGACGCTGGCTCGCTTCAGACGCCTATTGTATACAAACCCTAATGGATCATTCATAGCCTTACACTGATGCTTATAAAGCCAGGTGGTTATTGTTACAAATGTAAAACCTAGTCTAAAGTGAGAAAGGTTATATATAAAACCTTTACTGTATTGTCATGTGTAAACACCTTTAAAAATGCAATAGTTTTTTATCTTACCACAATTTGTGATAATAGAGTGAGTGAGTGAATGAGCGAGTTTAGTTTTACGCTGCTTTTAGCAATATTCCAGCAATATCACAGCGGGGACACCAGAAATAGACTTCACACATTGTACCCATTTGGGGAATCGAACCCTCGTCTTCACCGTGAACGCTTTAACCATTAGGCTTTACAACCGAACATTGTTTTTTTAAAGGATCTTAAAATGATATTTCCTGTAAAGGTTTGTTTTTCCAGGGTATCTACACCTAGAAACTGTTCAGCTCTGGCAGATATGTTCATCTCTGCATTCGCCTTCCAACCTGCGTGTAATGTAAGTTACAGTCGATATGATGACTTCATCAAAGCAGCCAATGTTGACGTTCCTCCCGGCAAGGTACGTTGGTTAGCATACAACTAACACAGCTCAAAACACAGCTCTTCACCAAAATTCCAATTTTTATGCTTTTTTAGAAGTTTGCTTTTACCTTTGAAATTAGTTCTAAACACATACATGAACGTATGTTGAAATACGCTATAAACACATATATGAACGTATGTTGAAATACGCTATAAACATATACATGAACGTATGTTGAAATACGTTCTAAACACATACATGAACGTATGTTGAAATACGTTATAAACACATACATGAACGTATGTTGAAATACGCTATAAACACATACATGAACGTATGTTGAAATACGTTATAAACACATACATGAACGTATGTTGAAATACGTTATAAACACATACATGAACGTATGTTGAAATACGTTATAAACACATACATGAACGTATGTTGAAATACGTTATAAACACATACATGAACGTATGTTGAAATACGTATGTTGAACGTATGTAAATACGTTATCAACAAATACATGAACGTATGTTGAAATACGCTATAAACACATACATGAACGTATGTTGAAATACGTTATAAACACATACATGAACGTATGTTGAAATACGTTATAAACGTATGTTGAATACGTTATAAACATACATGAACGAACGTTATAAACACATACATGTTATGAAATACGTTATAAACGCTATAAACACATACATGAACGTATGTTGAAATACGTTATAAACATACATGAACGTATGTTGAAATACGTTATAAACACATACATGAACGTATGTTGAAATACGTTATAAACACATACATGAACGTATGTTGAAATACGTTATAAACACATACATGAACGTATGTTGAAATACGTTATAAACACATACATGAACGTATGTTGAAATACGTTATAAACACATGCATGAACGTTTGTTGAAATAAGTTATAAACAAATACATGAACGTATGTTGAAATACGTTATAAACACATACATGAACGTTTGTTGAAATAAGTTATAAACACATACATGAACGTTTGTTGAAATAAGTTATAAACAAATGCATGAACGTATGTTGAAATACGCTTATAAACACATGCATGAACGTATGTTGAAATACGTTATAAACACATACATGAACGTATGTTGAAATACGTTATAAACATATTCATGAACGTATGTTGAAATACGTTATAAACAAATACATGAACGTATGTTGAAATACGTTATAAACACATACATGAACGTATGTTGAAATACGTTATAAACAAATACATGAACGTATGTTGAAATACGTTATAAACACATACATGAACGTATGTTGAAATACGTTATAAACACATACATGAACGTATGTTGAAATACGTATGTTGAAGTACGTTATCAACAAATACATGAACGTATGTTGAAATACGTTATAAACACATACATGAACGTATGTTGAAATACGTTATAAACAAATACATGAACGTATATGTGTGTGTTCATGTTACCTTATTGCAATCTTAGTTCAAGCTGATACTCAATATCAGGTTCAGTCATGTATCTAGATTCACATCACGTCGAGGAAGGTTGTACCCAGTGAATTAGGTAGTCAGCCATACGCTAATACATATAAACCGTGTCAACTCATGGGCAATATACTGTGGTCTCCTCAGATTGAGTGCCGATCCTGTGAAAATCGGGGTTAGAATTCTTCAGCAACCCCATGCTGGTCATAAGAGATGATTTACTGGATCGGGTGGTCAGGCTTGCTGACTTGGTTGACGCATGTTAACGTATTCCAGTTGCGTATAGCGAGGCTCAAAATATCGATCACTGGATTGTCTGGTCCAGACTCAATTATTTACAGACCGCCGCCATATAGCTGAAATATGGCGTCAAGCCACAAAGAAAGAAAAAGGCCAGTATGGCCAAGTCAACACGAAGGTAATGCAAACAGAACTCCTTAGCTCCTTTTTAACCTATTTTATTGAGGTAATTTAACAAATTAAAAATATATGTTCTCATTTCACACACTAGATGTTATTCGATCCTTTCGATGCAAATACTACATCACATGGACGGAAAGTCTCGGTGTATGATGAGTTCGTAAGCTGCTGAGCACACAGACGAGTGCATTCACACCATACATAAATAGGACGTCCGTTGGAGCCTTCAAGAGCCAATGATATCGTTTTCACACATGTACAAATAGTGTGATCCCGGCGAATATATAGCATACATATTGAACTAAGTTAATACATTGTCCTCACATCAGAGTGAAGGCTGACATGTTCTCAAATGAAATACAAATAGAGACAAGTCACCTCGATATTAATACCCAGATTTACCACCTGTTAGTATATTGAACACGCGGTGAACACGGTTTAGGACAGTGGGTTGTTAGAGTGCTCACACTTGTGCAATTGAACTCATACATAATGTTATGCCGGGCGGATCAGGGATATAAAGGGAACGGTTCTGTTGATGATAGGAGTGAGTGCGTGAGTTGGGTTTTACGCCGCTTTTAACAATATTCTAGCAATATCACGGCGGGGGACACCAGAAATGGGCTTCACTCATTGTACCCATGAGGGGAATCGAACTCGGGTCTTCGGCGTGACGAGCGAACGCTTTAACCACCAGGCTACCCCACCGCCGCTCTTGATGATAGGAATACATAATACACTTGAAGATACATGATACACTTGAAGATACATGATACACTTGAAGAGCAAACTCTTTTCCGGTGAACGTGTTACAACGTATCAGTGTACGCTATTGGGGTTCAACGTTTGGTTCACACACACATATATGTATCTATCAGTCTGTCTGTCCGTCTGTCAGTTATGTGTGTGTATTGTGTCTGTTCAACAATAACTTCCACTCACTGTTTGTTTGTTCTTTAATGCCACACTCTATTCTAGCTATATGGCGGCGGTCTGTAAATAATCGAGTCTGGTGGATCAGACAATACAGTGATCAACAGCATCTAGGCAAATGGGGCACGATGACACCCGACCACCCGATCCCGTTAGTCGCCTCTTACGACACGCATGGGTTACTGAAGATCAATTCAGACCCGGATCTTCAGGGGTTCACTCGCTGAATCACACATTTACACACACAACGTTTTACTCGATAGTTCCGTTTCAGAGCATGTTCTGGTCTGGTGTGTACGGTGTCGTACAGATGTACAGCAACCGTGGACAGAGAGCAACAGTGCTTGAAGATACACTCATAGGTAACTATACAGGCATCTTTGTATTATTATAAGAGATATATTGCATTAAGAAAGGAATTGTTCCAAACACAAAACCAAACAGCGGGTTCAGTAAAGCGACCGAGTAAGTATAAAGTTAAAACTAGTGAGTGAGTAATTTGGATTTAACGCCCCTTTCAGCAATATCACGGCGAGGACACCAGAAAGGGTTTCACACATTGTAAACATGTGGAAATCGAGCCCAGGTCTTCGGGGCACAATAGGCTACCTACCTCATCTACTAGGCTACCCTACCGCCCCTATACGGATGAAGGGTTTGTTATATGGTCTTTATATATAAATTTGAAAGCTGAATGTATGTTTCCATATTACCTAGCCTCTTGTATGTACTTTTGTAATTTTCTGAAAGCAGTATGACAGTAGTGAAAAAAGCCTACTTAAAGGTCACATGCAACGTAAAACACAACTTTGCAGATTCTGATACCTTTCGGTATGGACTTACCGAAACAAATCGTCAAAATGCAAATTCAACTTATAAAGTTAAAAATAAGACGATGAAAAAAACGCGAGAAATCGGAGTTCAAACGTTTCACTAATTTTCCCCACTTTTCTGGGGAAAACGGGTTTCAACAGCTGGGCTGCGCTCATAGCACGTGCGCAGTGAAATAGGTTCGCGCAGCTTGGAAGCGGGTTGTCGGGTGAATACTCGGTGAAGGCTTTGGTGTGAGCTATTTTTCTAATGTTTTGTTGATATCTCACAGGCATGAGCTTTTTATATGTTATGACAGTAAATTAACTGTTTATATAATTTCATTTGTCTATTTCACCACACGTTCTTCTTACCGAGTCACTTTCTCAGTTCGATACTTAAAAGCAATGTCATTATTTAGCGTTGTACAGAATTTCTAACTGTGATATAGATATGTCGTTGTCACAGACAAAACTCAATGTCTTGTTTTATTGACACCTTTGTGTCTGCCTGCCTGTCTGACAATGTATTCAATACACAGCTGCTATCACTGACCACATGCAATTTGAACTTAACACCAATCAGGCTATACACCATAAACAAAATGCATTGATTTATGGCCCGAGTTCGGTCTCTGTCACATTATGTAATTACACAGACAGGCAGGTGTGATACTTGAACACATGACATGTAATGATGTCTGTTGATTGCAAAATGTTATACACAAAAATGAGCATGTATTTACAAAACCCAGCATCTCTATATATACACACACAATGAGCCGTGAAGGCATCTGCAAATGAACCAGCTGTTACACTTGAGTGCACACCCACCCGCTCTGACTGGGTTCGGTATCCCGGCTGCTTCGTTTCTTGGGAAGTAAACCGAAGTACACAATTTTGCACTTTTGATTTGCGATTGTTCGCTTATAATTTTGTTTATATGTTTTTCATTACCAGCAATGTATATTATATGTCATGAATAAGTGATAATTGTGTTTTAATTATGTTTGATTTTTGGGTTGCATGTGACCTTTAATAAAAAACTTTTGCAATTTTCTAAAAGCGGTATGACAGTAGTGACAGTAGTGAAAAAGCCTACTTTATAAAAAAACTTATCTAGCTGGAACATTGATAAGTGCAGCGTTAAACAAACAATGAAGGCAAAATGAAGGCAAACTACAACCCCAAAGGCATATGTGGTTAATGCATGGTGTCTTCAATTGCAGGTTATATGGTTGACGGGCTCATGACAAAGAACAAAAGCAGAGTTTCTCCGTAAAATGTGTAATGTATTCGCATTGGAGGTTGTCTATGCATGTTTTCTCCCATTGCAGGTTATATGGTGGACGGGTTACAGTTCTGTGCCCAGACCAATCAGCCTGGTATAACGTATGATGAAGACTGTCCTGGATTTCAACAGACTGACAACTGTACTTACAATGCAGAGTATTCCTTCTGGGCCATGGCGTCGAAAAATGTGTGTACATTATTATCGTTTTATTCACTAACTAACGTTATATCAAGTAACATTTATTATCATTCAACTGAAGCATTTATACGTGGCAAGCTTGTGATTTATAAGCATACCCAATGACATACGTATGCAATTTGAGATATGCAAATTAGATAAAAAGTGGGACTTTTCTGAGACGGCTGTTTCGATTCAAAAGCTAAATATCAGTGAAACTTTACAAGAGCTAAATCCAAATGACACAGATTCGTTACTATGGTCATTATTAGAGTTTCATTAATTCTGCTCAACTAATTCAAGTATACTTTTAAATCGTCCACGGAACATGTTGTGTACTTTGGTTTTCAAGGCAATATAAAAGATGTAGCACTAGGCACGATATATGCGTAAGATTTCGACAAGTTTCTGATGTTAATTGTGATGCATTGTTTTCTTAAACGGGAAACACTGATGTGTAAAGGCCAAAGTGTCGGCTACTACCGATTAACTAACCTTCAGCTGTTGTCTCCTGTGTTAAGAATCGCTCTATATACACAATGCAATATAATGAGTTGATTCACCAGTTGAGAAAAACGGTAAGTATACACAGGTGTTTATCTTACCTTTACATGTAAAACACTGCAATTTGATTGGACAAAAACACAGCTTTTACAAAATCCATGTACCCCGGTATGGAAGGGTATAACTTGAAAAGTATATCCCGCTTCCCTTACAACTGCGTATATGCCTAACTCTGGTATAAATTACTTCTAACGGGGTTCGCATCGGTTAACACACAATTAGGAGTATACAAGTAAACAAATAAGAGTCTGCTGTAGTTACCTATAGAAACAATGGAAACATAGTTTAACACAATTAGGAGTTTACAAGTAAACAAATAAGAGTCTGCTGTAGTTACCTATAGAAACAATGGAAACATAGGTTAACACAATTAGGAGTTTACAAGTAAACAAATAAGAGTCTGCTGTAGTTACCTATAGAAACAATGGAAACATAGGTTAACACAATTAGGAGTTTACAAGTAAACAAATGAGAGTCTGCTGTAGTTACCTATATAAAACAATGGAAACATAGGTTAACACAATTAGGAGTTTACAAGTAAACAAATAAGCGTCTGCTGTAGTTACCTATAGAAACAATGGTCACCAAACGCTTCGCCTCGCATTCAGCATTCAGAAGAAGATATATCAGCCAAACGTTCTCGAACCCGAAAACTTTTTAAAGAATATCTGGCAGAAAAAGGAACAGGACGGCTTTAGCCGAAATGCTCAGTCATTTCTACATGGATATCAGAACTCAAACTGGTGACCAATACATGACATCAACTTTGGAGAATATTAGGCACAGTCTCAACAAATACTTGAAATATCCGCCATATAATAGACACTTTGGCATAATAAGGATGGGCGATTCAACGATGCCAACGAATCTTTAAATCAGCTTGAGCTGAAGGCTGCTGGTAAGGGTGAGACAAAACACAAAGAAGTGATCTCTGATTCTGATCGAGTGAAACTTTATTCGTCTATGCACTTGAACACCCAGACACCATATGGATTGACTAACAAGGTCCAGTTTGACATCAGACATCAAACATGGAAAAAATGACGAAAACTACATTCGTAGTGAACACTGATTCTGATACTGGCCTCCGTTATATACAGAGAAATGCTGGAGGACTGACCAAAAAACACAGGGATGATAAGGAGTCATTTGGGGATTGATGATGGAGCAGCCTAATTCACCTTTCTGCCCAGTGACATCGTTCGTTACCTACGTTGATAAGCTACATCCCGACTGCAATCGACTGTGGCAGTATCCGAAAGATTGTTTCTGCGACAGTGATTCTACCTAGTATAACAACAAGCCTGTCGGGAGGAATACACTAGCTTCCTTCATGTCTACCCTCAGCAAGTGTTGTGGTTTGTCCCAGGTTTACACAAACCAATGTATCCGTGCCACTGGAGCCACGATCCTCACTCGCGGTAACTTTGCAAGTGCCCAAATCATGAGTGACAAGAGTGTAAGTTCCCTTGCCGTCTATCAGCAGGTATCAAACAAGCAAAAGATGCATGTGAGCCATGCTATTTCCAACGCTATGCATCCTTTTCCTCCCCATGTCTAACACCACCGCCACCCCGACAAAGCCTAACGGCAGCGCCGTCAGTGAAATATGGGTCAACACCTGGGGAGACATGAGTTTTGCCTTCTGTCGAACCACGCCAGCTAGAAGGCAAAGGAACTTGCAGAACTGAGAGAACTTGACCTTGATGACCTATTTTGCGATTTTGCGATCCTGAACCATCAACCCACCCTAAGGGTCACAAACCAAACATCAGTTTTTCAAAATTGCAACATTCAGAACGTAAATGTTATTGTGAGAAAATGACTTCCCCTGTGACATGAGTTCGGCACATTCCTTCGCTTTATCGGCTGTTCTATCAGATGTTTTAGAGGTCACAAAGTACAAACTTTAGTGACATGTTGTTTTCTGTGATTCTCCTGCAGTTCAATATTGCGAACTGTTATTGTTAATGCCTCACAGTTATAGTGACGTTGTTTCACCGAGTTATTGTTGTGACAGAATTAAAACAACATGTTTCATTTGAATTGCATAACTGTAGTTCTTGTACAGCATTGTGTTTATATACTATAAAACACAAGAGGCAGCCACGACGGTAAGATAAATTCGTTCCCTCGGGATATACGGTCTGGTGTACCCTCTGTGTTGCAGTGTACCCCGAGCCTGGTACGGCTGCAGCCTATTAACTAGCCTAGAGTGTAGGGGGTGTCTTCTGAAGGACCCCCTTCTCAATAGTCAGATTTCAATGAAGATAATGCAACACTGTTTTCACTAGTTTTACAGTTTACGTCCCATGCCAATGGCTGTAGAATCACCTTCTTAATGGTCAGATTTCAATGCAGAAAATGGAACATTTCTTTCATTTCTTTTACAGTTTGCATCCCATGTCACTGGCGACGCACAGGTTATGCTGAATGCAAGCTTGGACCAGCCATTCCGCGATCTATCGTAGGTATATTTATACATAGTACATAGCTTTAGGGTAAGAACTATCTGAATATTCGCTGTACATGTGCTAAGAAGAACCTCTGCTACCATTCGCACCCTCATTTCTCCAAAATTCTGTGAGGATTAATTGCAAAATGCAAAAAGCTGGTTTAATGTTCAATACATCTTCTATGACCCTTAGAGTGGCTCGCTTGTCGTGGTTTGTGTTGTACGGATGCCTTACAATGCCGAGTTATCATCTTTCTTTGTTTTTTCCAGTTTCTTTTCAACCTGGGAAATACCGAATATGAACGCTAGCCAAATATCAAACGTCAATATTCTTATGGTTCATATACCAGGACAAGACATAAGGTTCGTTTGAAGGTGTTTCTCAGTAGTGTAATCTGTTGTCCTGCATACACGTTTTCAAGGACTGATGGTGGTAAGCACATGTATGAATAATGCATTTATACTTAACCATTATCACTGCGTCCCTCCCTATTATTAACCATTGCAGGTTTCACCGATGCAGCTCAATATTACACCACCCGTGAAGGTCCGGGTTAGAATGAACCTTCAGTAACCTATGCTTATCGTATGAGGCGACTAACAGGATCGGGTGGTCAGGCTCGCTGGTTTGGTTGACACATGTCATCGTATCTCAATTGCCTAGGTCGATGCTCATGCTGTTGATCACTGGATTGTCTGGTCCAGACTCGATTACTTACCGACCGCCGCCATATAGCTGGAATATTGCTGAGTGCGGCTTAAAACTAAACTCACTCACTCACTCAAAATTACACCAGAAAATACTCTATACGATTCATATATAACGTCTATTAGCACTTTAGAGCTTGTTTGAAAACAGGATATCTATATTAATTGGTGAAAATAATTCTGTTTAAACCATGAATCCGAGTTGAAAATGGTCATCAGTAACCCATGCTTGTCGTAAGAAATGACTAACAGGATCAGGTGGTCAGACTCGCTGACTTGGTTGATGTAGGGGCATCTCATGATGTTCCATTACATTAGACCCGTGAAGGTACAGGGGTAGGATTGGTCTTCAGTAACCCATGCTTGTCGTAAGAAATGACTAACAGGATCAGGTGGTGAGACTCGCTGACTTGATTGATGTAGGGGCATCTCATGATGTTCCATTACATTAGACCCGTGAAGGTACAGGGGTAGGATTGGTCTTCAGTAACCCATGCTTGTCGTAAGAAGCGACTCACAGGATCAGGTGCTCAGACTCGCTGACTTGGTTGATGATTGTTCTCGATTCACAAATACGTAGGTGGATGGTCATCATGACAATAAATTGATTGTCTGCTTTCAGACTTAATGTTTGGCAGCGACGCAAAACGGGCGAATAATTTCTGAGTGCGGTTTTATACAATGAATGTACCACAAGAATAATAATGGGCAAATGGCATACACAAATATGCTAAATAGGAAAATATTTACTAATGCCGATTCCATCGTGACCAAGAAGGTTCTCCATGTTTCCTTTTCCTGTAAAATAGGGGCTGCAGAGAAGCATGATATGATGGAAAACCTAGAAACACATCTTGTGATATACATGTATCTGGGTTAATTAATTATCCTCTGTTTGTTGTAGATCAACCTGTAACAGTGACAGTATCTCTCAGCTGAAAAAGCGACTGAGGGCTAGAGACATTACATCTTCCTGTGAGGACAGTCCTAGGTAATTTTGTATAGGACATTCCGTTTCAAGTGTGAATTCCATTCCAGCCTATATTTGAAATGATATTCAAGTTCCTTGAATGTTTTAAGATAAGTGTGTTGATGTAAACGTTTATAAATATGGGGCGGTGGGGTAGCCAAGTGGTTAAAGCGTTGGCTCGTCACGCCGAAGACCCAGGTTCGAATCCTCACATGGGCACAATGTGTGAAGCCCATTTCTGGTGTCCCCGCCGTGATGTTGCTGGAATATTGCTAAAACCGGCGTAAAACCCAAACTCAGTCAGTCAGTCAGCTTCATAAATATTTTGCACGTTTAAAACGTAAACATATTTTGTGCAGTGAACGTACAAAGGCTGATGTGTAAAATGTCTTCTTCATCTACAAACTAATTATGTCTTGGAAAACAACAACATTACATGTCCCCATAAACCCAACTCCATACAGGAGTATTAAATCTGGCCCTAATAACCTAAGGTTTGTGATAAACCATAGTAATCATTTGTCACGTTTAAGATGCGATCCTTATATCATGGAAAGTTACTACATGTGTTTCAGTTTTCTGCTTGTACACAAATGATGGATCAAAACTACAAACACATAAGCAGGGTTTTGGTGGTGCTAAAGTTTAAGGTCGATTTGGAACGGAAATTGGGTCTATTTGCGCCTAAATAAAATAGAAAATGAAACATTGAAACGATTTAAAAGCAATACATACATTTGGTTTAATGTTTCCACCAGACACCATTTGTCTCATACTTGCCTGATGCACTAACGAACTGCAGTGTTGTCCTTTCAATAGAACCGTAAAGGAAGTTGGGGCCCAATATTGCAGAAAGGGAAAATCTGAGACCAGATAATAGATTATATGGTCTCTGGGAAAATGTATCACTTTTCTCGATCAAGGGCATTTCTGAGATTTTGTCTTATGTACATTGGGGACATTCCAATATATAATGTTGAACTGTTCCAAACTACGGACAATATGCCAAACTGTGTAACTTGAACATAATGTTATTCCGGAAATTAGTTGAATATCTAGGTTAAAGTTACATGGTTTGTATCTATATTTCACAGAGGACCCCAAACAATGCTCTGTGTGGACCATCCAAGGGAAATGGAATGTGATAAGGAAAAGGTCACAAGCGCTTCGTCTCATCTCGCTTCTACTGGAGTACACGTTGCAGTGATGATCGCAGTAGTCACGTCCTTATTGCTGTTATTCAACATATGATTACTACTTGCACTTATCATGAAAAACTGTTAAACTTCGAACGCTATTGTTGGTGATTGCCATTATGGAATGTGACGATGCTGCTGTGTCTCTTCGACTGAACTGTTAGTATAACAAAATGTTAATATGTACAGCTTGACAATGCAAAATTTTCATGTTAATTAATGTTTGCATGAGCGCAAATGGTTATAGTTTAATTTCATGCGAACAATTAAAATGTTCCTGGATGTAACGTTGGAAGATATACAATCTGATTCATTCACCAGACCCATGGTCCATTTTACAGTCAGTGTGCGAATATTGTTTCCAATTTTTCTAGCCAGTCGGGCTAGTTATGCCTGAAAGTTACTAGCCCACAAAATAATAAACTAGCCCGAAATTTGAATGTAAAATCTAGGTCAGTGAGTGAGTTGGGTAATACGCCGCTTTTAGCAATATTCCAGCAATATCTCGGTGGGGACACCGGAGGTGGGCTTCACACAATGTGCCCATGGGGAATCGAACCCGGGTCTTCAGCGTAACGAGAGAACGCCTTAACCACTAGGCTACTCCACCACCCCTTACAAACTAATCAAAATATTACACAAGATAAGCTGCTAATATGATGAACATTTTCATCAGGCCATAATCTTGCATGATTTAAAAGTGTATTATAACTTAACAAGTCGGAGATAGTAATATGTTTACAAAATGACAGCATGAATCGGGCCAGTGACTGTGGAGATTTACTGGCCTGACGTAATTTTACTAGCCACGGGCTACTGGCTATTTCGCACACTCTTTACAGTCATAATCACTCATGGAATAGAAAAAGGCATGATGTTGCGACAGGTGACAAATTTAACCATTCCGCCAATGCCACTTTGTGACTGAGTGAGTAAGGTGGTATTTACGCCGTGTTAAGCATAATCCAGCAATATCACGGCAGAAATGACACATGTTCTAATTGTTTATCATCTAACGGAGAGTGTTATCGGTGCAATAAAGCAGTCTGATAAACTTGGTATCCAAATCTGATAACTATGCAAATTACGTCAATCCACGAACTACTTACACAAAACTCCATACACGCCATGCGAATTCTAAAACGTTTAACATTTCATTGATGACGCCGTCGCGAGTTTACATCGCGCGGACGAGTTTGTAAACAAACATGGTTGCCCCCATTCTCAAGATTTGTGATTCTGTAAGAATTGATGACAGAGGTTCTGGAGTCGTTACTGCAGTAACTGAATTTGGAAAACATGAAACGGAGTGCTTCGTTCAAACTGAAGGTACGGATTATGAGGCACGATTGAAAGGCGAAAGAAAGGTATCAATTGCAACCAATTCAAGGATTTCGATCTATCGATCACAATACAGACGACGAATCGATTCAGTCAGGTATCAGAAACTGATATTGATGAGGTGATTACCCGCAATGAGAAAAGAAACACTGCCAAGAAAACCCTGCTCGACTGTGTTGTTCTTTTTAGGCAGAAAGATCTTATTTTAAGCATGAGTTATGTTTGCTCTGTACTAGCGACCACTCACAACCATATGCCGCTGTCATGAACGACCTTCACCTTGGTGTATTGCTAAGTATTCTTACGCGAGCGGTCGATTCTCTTCATATAAATTCACGTCCGATTTGCTTCTTGTATGAGAGTAATTTTCAGAATGACAATATTTGATAAAGAGAATATGAACCTCGTGAGTTACCGTATAAGCCTCGCATGATACATTTTTATTCCTAATATATGATATTAATGATACGGAAACACACTCGGTCAATAATCTCTATTTATTGCAAATGTGAAAGGTAGTATTATATGTACAACAAAACAAAGAAAACACAGAATGTGATTTGTAAAGTGTTTTGAGCCCTTATTAGTTGTTTTCAACTATAGTACATTAAGGAACGATGATGACCAAAGGCCTCCATGCGACTGCACATGTTTTGCGTGCTGAGATGTCTAGAGTTGTGTTTGTTGTGTCCAAAACGATAATAATAATAATGTTGCCTCAAATTTGGAAACTTAGTGTCCACATGTCTTCCATAAAATGTTTTCCAATTAATCTCAGGTTCCCTTTAAACATGCCGAAATCGTATGATGTTATTTACCCCATACGACAAAAAATTCAAGTTTGGTTTCTAAAAATAGTAGTTCTAATTCAACATCACTGCTTACATTGCTAGTACATTCCTGATAACTAATTATTTTAAACACAGTCTTATGAACATCTAGTGATTGCCAATCCGTTCAACACGTTTGGATGAAATTATACACCACATACGTCATAATTTCTGCGGGGCTGCTCAGCAACCTTGGTTTTGTTATAATAGTCAGCGAAATGGATTCGGGTGTAAGGTGACATTACTTATATTATTACCCATACGGACTAGGATACACAGGTGATTATTTTTATGTGATAATCGCACATGTGCTATTCAGTGATTCTCAACGTTGATTGGTCAGCTAAGCAGAGAAGAAATGTGATTGGTTGACGGAACTACTTTTCATGATCCAAGTTCATTGACAACACACTCCGGCACAGTGATGACTTAGCATAACATCACTGCCACAGGCTAATTTTCTGCATATCACGTGACCGGACTTTTCTTTGTTTGTAAACAAACGCGCATATTCATAATAAGAAGAGACTGGCCTTACGCAAAATCGAAATGTTGTTTAATCTTCAAACTTGTTGAGTTTCTTGACAGAAACTCTGGGTAGGAGAGTGCGTTGACAACTTTTCTAGATGTATTCGTGAGATTTAATAAAGGATGGTTGTCTTTTATTAGATTGCCCAACTTTTAACCGTTGACTTTCCCCGATAAATTGACATGAAGAGTGAGAAGAAATTTTGCCAAAGTGTTTTCAACACTACACCGTCACCCGTCCATGCCATAGAACCAGGCACTGTTCAATCAATAAACAGTTACTCTTCAATTAATGAATAACGCCTCGGACTTTTAAATCTTCATTCTGTACATACACTATTCTTAGCTGTTATTTCACTTCCAACATCTCAATGATATTTAAAACATCGTTTTATCCTATTAACAAATGTTAATAAATTATTCCATAAAAATATTTTTTGTTGTGTTTTGCCAAAGTGTTTTCAAGCGATTTTACTAGGTACCTATTTTCCATAGCGTAGTTATGTTATTACCGCTGGAGAAGTTTAATACGCGCATGAATACGAATCAGCTGTTTGAGGTCACAAGTCCTGTCTCCGGGTGATTAAATTTCGTGGTTCTTCTTTTTGATTACATTATGGGTAATAAATAGAATAATCAACTCGGTACGAGTGATTACGAGGAAATATGCCCTCGTTGAAATAATGTTCAGTGACTCGCCAAGGCTCGTAACTGTGAACATTATTTCAACTCGGGCATATTTCCGTAATCACTCGTGCCTCGTTGGTTATTCTCTAAATATTCAATCTATGTTGTCAATGGTGGTCGGTTTTGATAGCAGATGCCTTGTTTTGTGAACATTGAATGGTTTAGAGGCCATGGGAAATTTGTAAACACCTAGAAACATGCAATATTTGTATTTTACCACAACCTGTGACAATACACAACTGCACAGAAGGTGTCCTATATTTTTACACATTGACAAAGAACAAATTCCAGAGATAAGCCCAAGCAGGTCACAGGGCCTGAACCGAGCAACAGCAATGTAGCAGATGTCTGAGTCGAACTAACCGTGGATGATCATCATCAGAATGCTGTTACAGACAAACTCACTGGCAGTGTTCCTGGCACTGGTCACAAACCAGGTGTTAGCCGATGGTCAGTGTGTAACCAAGGGAACAACTCCTGAAATACGGGGCTGGTGTTGGGGAGGTGTATCGACTACCAGACAAACATCAACCCTGGAGCTTTCTGTGTGAACGGGTAAGTTGGACTAGCAATTTACATTACATTACCTCTGAACCCCTTTACCCTGTATGAAAATATCTAATTTATACATTTGTATAACAGCCATAAAATGTCCGACTCCGACCATCTGTCCCGAGATCGGACGCCTTGTCCACAAGAACAAAGAGCTTAGACTGGGTGCCGTTGTATAAAACAACCTCAGATCACCTTATCTTATCTAAGTTTTAACCTTAGGTGTTTGCTAAGGTTGACGTCCCGTTGCACGAATCTACCTTACGCTAAGGTAGCCTTAGTTAAGGTGAAAATTTAAGGTTGGTCCGACCCGACCTTAGTGTGTCTGAGGTTGACGTTTCAAGTACACGTGGCTACATTCTAGTTGAAGTGTGAGGAAACTGGTAGAAACGTTATTTGGTGTATGTTTTACTCGGAGGGTTGAATTTAAAAATAACATAATATAATTAGTGATCACTGATATGTGTTTGTCATCAAACCGATGGTAATTCTGAAACGTCTCCGATAAACCTAGAATCGGTTGTTTATGTTTTTAAGTTACCCACGTATACAACGAGCACCTAGTACATTAGAAGGGGGATGAAATAATGAATATTGACCTTGTTCGTATTTCTTTTATCGTCATCGAGGGTTGATGCCTGCAATCAGGGAAGTGCTTCAGGACCGTTAACTATCTCCAGGGTGCACGGCAACGTCGAGGATAGATAAGAGTAAGGTGCAAAGAGTATAGTTACAAGGACACCGTATGTGCAAAAGATAAAACCCGAATATGAAAAAAATCAGATTTGGGATTCGAATCCCGAATATGAAACAAAAATCAGATTCGGGTTTCGAATCCCGAATCTGACAAAAAATTCAGATTCGGGATTCGAATCCTGAATGTGAAAAAAATATTCAGATTCGGGATTCGAATTCCCAATCCCCAATCCGTTTCTAACTTCATGTTGCTGAATCGGTTGTGATGTTTTGGAAAACTCACGAACACGAACGCCGAAGTGAGGTGTTCGGGTAAGGGAAATGTAAACAAAGAAACATCCACTATTTACACTGTGTAGCATTTTGGTAAATTTTCAAACATCCATTCGTCTATTTGTTTGCATGCATTGGCTCAATACCTTTAGAATATGCATGAAAAGAGTATCGTAGCAAGGAATAGGAAATTTTAAAAAAATGATACAATACAATGATTTCATCAATTCATACTAAATTGTCACAATCCTGCGTATAGATGTCATAAACTCGGCTATTTTGTGAGAAAACGGTTATCGGTAGTGATGTCATACGTCCACATTGTGATCCATATTTGGCAACTCCTTTGAGATGAAAGTTCGTTGAATAAGAGTTAACACAATTAGCCTTTCCCGCTGCTTACAACTTCCAGTATCATTATGTATATTTTGCGATTAGTTCCTATATCTTTTAAAGAAACTAATTTTATTATCTACGTTTACCCTTGTTCAATATCATATCATACAAGGACATAGACAATATGTTCGTTTGAAGAAATTGCCACATTTAGCGTAGTACCAACATTTTTAACCTTTACGCAAGTGTTAGAAGATGAAACGTAGGCGTAACTGTAACATGTACTTTAGTTCGTACGATGCGCAATATTCAATATTAATTACTGGTAGAATTATATTATTCCATATGTTAATGAACAGCGATTAAATTAAACCTTATAAATAATACTAACAATTAATGAAAATGATTGATATATTTTATGAACTGAATAGTCAAACATTTTTAAAGGAACTGTCTTGTTCACTGAATTTGTTAATGCCGTTTTATGGGCAAGCATTGATGTATAATGATTGGGCCAGGTGTGCGTTTATCATTAACGTTTTACGATTCACTCTCATTGTTGTAAATAATATTATTATCAATTTCTGTTCGAAAAATATAGTGATGGCTGTAACTATATTTCTACAAGAATTGTAAAAACATGAAATAAACTATGTCATGTCTTCCTTTGGAATAACCTTACGTTATTTTTGTGATAGTTCCATACAAAAAAAAACATATTTGCATCTTCATTGTATACATCTATTCGGGCCTTAGTTATACCGCTAGGTTTCCTTCCAGAGTTCAGGTTGACCAAAGGTAGCTTTGTTCTAAGGTTTTTGTTAAGGTTACCTTAATGTTAAACTTTGTCACTAAGTTGAACCTTAGTAAAGGTTGTTTGGTATAACGGCACCCTGGTCAACATGCTGACAAGATAAGGATGCCACCTGCATCCATGACGCCACGCCCTGCTGTAATATTCCCCGTCACACTGGTCATATACCATGGGCAGGTGTTAGCCAATGGTCAGTGTGTAACCAAGGGAACAATTCCTGAAATACGGAGCTGGTTGTAGGGCCAGACAAACATCAACCCTGGAGCTTTCTGTGTGAACGGGAAAGTTGAAGTCTCGTTCTTGCCACTTGATATAAAACCGTGAAATTTCGCGATGATGAATTAACGAGTACTTAAGATTTTACTCCGTTTTTAGCAAAGTTCCACCAATGCATTTATTTATTTGTTTGTCGTTTAACGCCGCACTCAACAACATTCCACCTGTATGATGGCAATCTGCGAATATTTGAGTCTTGAACAGACAATCCAGTGATCAAAAGAATGAGATAATTGGGAAATGATGACATGTATCAACCAAGTTAGCGAGCCTGATCACACGATCCCGTATGTATACAAGTATGTATCGTAGGTATTTCGGCGCAGGGTTTAATATTAATATATTCCTCTCTGGTTTAGGTAAATTGAATATATCTCTCTAAATAATTTCAATAGATATGAAATCAACGCATGTTGACCATAATTATCATGGCCACCAACACAGGGTCATTTGCAGGTCAGCTTCCTCTAATCATTTAGACAATGGCCAGTGGGCCACTGAAGCATGGCATTGTGGATGAGATGCAGGATACTGCAGGCTGACCAGACATCTGTCGCAAATGCGACACGTGGCAGCCTGATCAGGATACGACCTGTAGGGATAAATAGCGAATGTTTGCTGTAAGTCGGGATTTGACCCTCGGACAACGGCTAGGCAGGTGGGCTGACGATCGCCTCTGTGATGCTGCCTGGCCGTGGCTGCACTATGATGTAATTGCATATTTACACGCCGAATAAAGTGTTGTGGACCCTCAGGTGGACTTCAGGATTTGACAAGATAGTTATTCCAAACAAAACAGCTGGGTTGCTGTTCATGACCTATTCTTACCCGGATCTCAACGGGTCACTAACTGAAAGAAACAAAACTTGCTGATGTAGTATTCAAACCGCAATTGAACGATTTCATAGCTAAATAGGAATGACAAGTCTTTATGGGTGATCAGCTTCTTTCTTGTGCAATAGCAACGTTTCGAAATAGAGACTTATATCGTTTTCATGAGTGGCTAAATATCAAGGTTTACTTTTCCAGGGTATCTACACCCACAAACTGTTCTGCTCTGGCAGATATGTTCATCTCTGCATTCGCCTTCCAACCTGCGTGTAATGTAAGTTACAGTCGCTATGATGACTTCTTCAAAGCAGCCAATATTGACGTTCCTCCCGGTCAGGTAAGTGGGAAACAGCAGCACTTGATACTTTCCCTACGCTGAAAAACAAATGTGATGAGACGGTGAATTGTTTAGAAAATAACCACTCACCCCCACCCCCCCCCCCCCTAGTCTCCTGTTTGAGAATAATAACTATAGAAATCTATTAGGTTGGCGAAGACGTTGACGCTAGATACCGGTAAATGTACTTGGACTAGGACTGGTGTATTACGTAGACAAATCCTTTTTATATTACCATAATGTTATTGGAAAAGAAAGCGTTAGACAATAAGTATTCTCGTTAAATCTAAAATTTGCAATAAAAAAAATAAATAAATAACATTATAATTATCACGAAGACTCGAAAATTCCACACTATCCCGTGATAGTCCATGTTGTATATTAACTAGAAGTGTTGACAGGTTCCATCTTTTTTCAACAGCAACTGCCATACTCATACCCTCACAGCGTTTGATTACAGAACTGTTGTTTCAGAGCATGTTCTGGTCTGGTGTGTACGGTGTCGTACATGTGTACAGCAACCGTGGACAGAGAGCAACAGTGCTTGAAGATACACTCATAGGTAACTATACAGGCATCTTTGTATATTATAAGAGATATATTGCATTAAGAAAGGAATTGTTCCAAACACAAAACCAAACAGCGGGTTCAGTAAAGAGACTGAGCGTCGTATGTATGGTAAATAAGGGCGATTTGATGGCTCGTCACATATAACGCCACCTATATGACTGTGGTCTGTAAATTATCCAGCCTGAGCCAAACAGTCTTGTGATGGAATCGTGAGCATCGATCTAGGCAACTGAGACACAATGACATACATCAACCAAGTCGATGACTCTGATGTCTACTGACATTGACTGCGCAGGGAATGAGCTTTCTTATAGCGAGTGAGTGAGTGAGTGAGTGAGTGCGATTAGTTTTTACGGACACAGGGTCATTTGCAGGTCAGCTTCCTCTAATCATTTACGGCCAGTGGGCCACTCATTGTGGATGAGATGCAGGATACTGCAGGCTGATTCAGACATCTGTCGCAAATGCGACACGTGGCAGCCTAACAGGATTCGACCTGTAAGGATATGAGAATGTTAAGGCTGCAATTAGTTTTACGCCGCACTCAGCAATATTCCATCTATATGGCGGCTGTAAATAATCGAGTCTGGACCAGACAATACAGTGATCAACAGCATGAGCATCGATCTGCGCAATTGTGATACGATAACATGTATCAACCAAGTCAGCGAGTCTGACCAGACAATACAGTGATTCCGTTAGTCGCCTCTTAGGAAAATCATGGGTTACTGAAGATCAATTCTAACCCGGATCTTCACGGGCCCTTATAGCGCAGTGCAAGTGGGGGACTTATTACTTGACGTCGAAAGAATCAAACGTCATGCAAACGTTTGTGACATTAAAGTGTTTGTCTGCAACGACTCCAGGAACTTTCAACCAATGACAAAGTAAACAAGTAACCTATCCAGCCTTTGTGTCGTGACCCCAAGACGACCAAGTCTTTGAACATATGCAACAGTACAGGTGATCTGGTTCAGTTCTGCTAATACAATCTTTGAATAACACACTGTGTTGACTATTATCTCTCTGGAAACTCCCACTAGTTATGGCAGTTTTACTAAGTACTAGTAGTATGTACATGTGTACAAAGGAATGCATTGCTGGTTGAAGTCTTTTATTGACATTAGGAAGTTTGAAGAACATGGATTCATAACACTTGCCAGACGTTTCAGTTCAACTTTTTGCGGCTTCTTCAGGCGAATGCTTAGTGCAAGGCTATTTACATAACTGCATGTACTTACTGTAAACTGTTTGTACTTACTTACTGTAATCTGTATGTACTTACTGTAGTCTGTATGTACTTACTGTAAACTGTATGTACTTACTGTAATCTGTATGTACTTACTGTAATCTGTATGTACTTACTGTAGTCTGTATGTACTTACTTACTGTAATCTGTATGTACTTACTGTAGTCTGTATGTACTTACTGTAAACTGTATGTACTTACTGTAAACTGTATGTACTTACTGTAAACTGTATGTACTTACTGTAATCTGTATGTACTTACTGTAGTCTGTATGTACTTACTGTAATCTGTATGTACTTACTGTAATCTGTATGTACTTACTGTAAACTGTATGTACTTACTGTAAACTGTATGTACTTACTGTAATCTGTATACTGTACTTACTGTAAACTGTATGTACTTACTGTAATCTGTATGTACTTACTGTAATCTGTATGTACTTACTGTAATCTGTATGTACTGTAATCTGTATGTACTTACTGTAAACTGTATGTACTTACTGTAAACTGTATGTACTTACTGTAATCTGTATGTACTTACTGTAATCTGTATGTACTTACTGTAATCTGTATGTACTTACTGTAAACTGTATGTACTTACTGTAAACTGTATGTACTTACTGTAAACTGTATGTACTTACTGTAAACTGTATGTACTTACTGTAATCTGTATGTACTTACTGTAAACTGTATGTACTTACTGTAGTCTGTATGTACTTACTGTAAACTGTATGTACTTACTGTAAACTGTATGTACTTACTGTTATCTGTATGTACTTACTGTAATCTGTATGTACTTACTGTAGTCTGTATGTACTTACTGTAAACTGTATGTACTTACTGTAATCTGTATGTACTTACTGTAATCTGTATGTACTTACTGTAATCTGTATGTACTTACTGTAAACTGTATGTACTTACTGTAAACTGTATGTACTTACTGTAAACTGTATGTACTTACTGTAAACTGTATGTACTTACTGTAATCTGTATGTACTTACTGTAAACTGTATGTACTTACTGTAGTCTGTATGTACTTACTGTAATCTGTATGTACTTACTGTAGTCTGTATGTACTTACTGTAATCTGTATGTACTTACTGTAGTCTGTATGTACTTACTGTAAACTGTATGTACTTACTGTAATCTGTATGTACTTACTGTAAACTGTATGTACTTACTGTAATCTGTATGTACTTACTTACTGTAATCTGTGTGTACTTACTGTAAACTGTATGTACTTACTGTAAACTGTATGTACTTACTGTAATCTGTATGTACTTACTGTAATCTGTATGTACTTACTGTAGTCTGTATGTACTTACTGTAAACTGTATGTACTTACTGTAATCTGTATGTACTTACTGTAGTCTGTATGTACTTACTGTAATCTGTATGTACTTACTGTAAACTGTATGTACTTACTGTAATCTGTATGTACTTACTTACTGTAATCTGTGTGTACTTACTGTAAACTGTATGTACTTACTGTAGTCTGTATGTACTTACTGTAGTCTGTATGTACTTACTGTAATCTGTATGTACTTACTGTAGTCTGAATGTACTTACTGTAATCTGTATGTACTTACTGTAAACTGTATGTACTTACTGTAATCTGTATGTACTTACTTACTGTAATCTGTATGTACTTACTGTAAACTGTATGTACTTACTGTAATCTGTATGTACTTACTTACTGTAATCTGTATGTACTTACTGTAAACTGTATGTACTTACTGTAGTCTGTATGTACTTACTGTAGTCTGTATGTACTTACTGTAATCTGTATGTACTTACGCTAAACTGTATGTACTTACTGTAAACTGTATGTACTTACTGTAATCTGTATGTACTTACTGTAGTCTGTATGTACTTACTGTAATCTGTATGTACTTACTGTAGTCTGTATGTACTTACTGTAAACTGTATGTACTTACTGTAATCTGTATGTACTTACTGTAAACTGTATGTACTTACTGTAATCTGTATGTACTTACTTACTGTAATCTGTGTGTACTTACTGTAAACTGTATGTACTTACTGTAAACTGTATGTACTTACTGTAATCTGTATGTACTTACTGTAAACTGTATGTACTTACTGTAATCTGTATGTACTTACTGTAGTCTGTATGTACTTACTGTAAACTGTATGTACTTACTGTAATCTGTATGTACTTACTGTAATCTGTATGTACTTACTAACTGTAAACTGTATGTACTTACTGTAAACTGTATGTACTTACTGTAATCTGTATGTACTTACTGAAATCTGTATGTACTTACCGTAAACTGTATGTACTTACTGTAAATTGTATGTACTTATTTACTGTAAACTGTATGTACTTACTGTAAACTCTATGTACTTACTGTAAACTATGTACTTACTGTAAACTGTATGTACTTACTGTAAACTGTATGTACTTACTGTAATCTGTATGTACTTACTGTAATCTGTATGTACTTACTGTAGTCTGTATGTACTTACTGTAAACTGTATGTACTTACTGTAATCTGTATGTACTTACTGTAATCTGTATGTACTTACTGAAATCTGTATGTACTTACCGTAAACTGTATGTACTTACTGTAAATTGTATGTACTTATTTACTGTAAACTGTATGTACTTACTGTAAACTCTATGTACTTACTGTAAACTATGTACTTACTGTAAACTGTATGTACTTACTGTAAACTGTATGTACTTACTGTAATCTGTATGTACTTACTGTAAACTGTATGTACTTACTGTAATCTGTATGTACTTACTGTAGTCTGTATGTACTTACTGTAAACTGTATGTACTTACTGTAATCTGTATGTACTTACTGTAATCTGTATGTACTTACTAACTGTAAACTGTATGTACTTACTGTAAAGTGTATGTACTTACTGTAATCTGTATGTACTTACTGAAATCTGTATGTACTTACCGTAAACTGTATGTACTTACTGTAAATTGTATGTACTTATTTACTGTAAACTGTATGTACTTACTGTAAACTCTATGTACTTACTGTAAACCGTATGTACTTACTGTAAACTGTATGTACTTACTGTAAACTGTATGTACTTACTGTAAACTCTATGTACTTACTGTAAACTATGTACTTACTGTAAACTGTATGTACTTACTGTAAACTGTATGTACTTACTGTAAACTCTATGTACTTACTGTAAACTATGTACTTACTGTAAACTGTATGTACTTACTGTAAACTGTATGTACTTACTGTAAACTGTATGTACTTACTGTAAACTGTATGTACTTACTGTAAACTGTATGTACTTACTGTAAACTGTATGTACTGTACTTACTTACTGTAAACTGTATGTACTTACTGTAAACTGTATGTACTTACTGTACTGTAAACTGTATGTACTTACTGTAAACTATGTACTTACTGTAAACTATGTATGTACTGTGTAAACTGTATGTACTTACTGTAAACTGTATGTACTTACTGTAAACTGTATGTACTTACTGTAAACTGTATGTACTTACTGTAAACTGTATGTACTTACTGTAAACTGTACTGTAAACTGTATGTACTTACTGTAAACTGTATGTACTTACTGTAAACTGTATGTACTTACTGTAAACTGTGTACTTACTGTAAACTGTATGTACTTACTGTAAACTATGTACTTACTGTAAACTGTATGTACTTACTGTAAACTATGTACTTACCGTAAACTGTATGTACTTACTGTAAACTGTATGTACTTACTGTAAACTATGTACTTACTGTAAACTGTATGTACTTACTGTAAACTGTATGTACTTACTGTAAACTATGTACTTACTGTAAACTGTGTACTTACTGTAAACTGTATGTACTTACTGTAAACTGTATGTACTTACTGTAAACTGTATGTACTTACTGTAAACTGTATGTACTTACTGTAAACTGTATGTACTTACTGTAAACTGTATGTACTTACTGTAAACTGTATGTACTTACTGTAAACTATGTACTTACTGTAAACTGTATGCACTTACTGTAAACTGTATGTACTTACTGTAAACTATGTACTTACTGTAAACTGTATGTACTTACTGTGAACTGTATGTACTTACTGTAAACTGTATATACTGACTGTAAACTATGTACTTACTGTAAACTGTATGTACTTACTGTAAACTATGTACTTACTGTAAACTGTATGTACTTACTCTAAACTATGTACTTACTGTAAACTGTATGTACTTACTGTAAACTGTATGTACTTACTGTAAACTATGTACTTACTGTAAGCTGTATGTACTTACTGTAAACTGTATGTACTTACTGTAAACTGTATGTACTTACTGTAAACTGTATGTACTTACTGTAAAGTATGTACTTACTGTAAACTGTATGTACTTACTGTAAACTGTATGTACTTACTGTAAACTGTACTTACTGTAAACTGTATGTACTTACTGTAAACTGTATGTACTTACTGTAAACTATGTACTTACTGTAAACTATGTACTTACTGTAAACTGTATGTACTTACTGTAAACTATGTACTTACTGTAAACTGTATGTACTTACTGTAAACTGTATGTACTTACTGTAAACTATGTACTTACTGTAAACTGTATGTACTTACTGTAAACTGTATGTACTTACTGTAAACTATGTACTTACTGTAAACTGTATGTACTTACTGTAAACTGTATGTACTTACTGTAATCTGTATGCAGTTACTCAGCTACGGTACGTCGTGACAAAGAATATAATGGAGGTGGCTATGCATGTTTTCTCCTATTGCAGGTTATATGGTGGACGGGTTACAGTTCTGTGCCCAGACCAATCAGCCTGGTATAACGTATGATGAAGACTGTCCTGGATTCGAACAGACTGACAACTGTACTTACAACGCAGAGTATTCCTTCTGGGCCATGGCGTCGAAAAATGTGTGTAAATTATCAAACGTTTAATACCTTTATTGACCATTTGGCCTGTTCTACTTCCCTGTACAGGTTGTGAGTCAGATGGTATAATGAACAACATTTTAGTTATGCTCTGTCATTACATACCTGCAAGAGCTGGAGGAAAGTTTTCAGGTTTTAGTTGTTCGTGAAGATACATCCGGGTTATAATTGGTCTTCAGCAACCCATGCTTGTCGCTAGAGACGACTACCGACATCGGGTGGTCAGGTTCGCTGACATGGTTGATGATGTCATCGTATCCCAATTGCGTATTTCGATGCTCATGATGTGAATCACTGTATTCTCCTATTCAGTTATTTACAGACAGCCGTCATATAGCCAGTGTTCGAAATAGGCACTGGCCCGCTAGCCCGTGGCTAGTAAATATCCAGTCGGACCAGTAAATCTCCACAGTCACTGGCCCGACTGGCTAGTAAATTTTCAGGGGGTCATTTCGTAAATACATGTATATCACGCTCTCCGACTTGTTAAGTTATAATACACTTTTAAATGATGCGAGATTATGGCCTGATAAAAATGTTCATCATATTAGCAGCTTAATGATGAAACCCGTGTCTACATTCAAATTTCGGGGCAGTGAATACTTTTGTTGGCTAGTAACTTGCTTGCAAAATTTGGAAACTATTTCGCGCACTGCATATAGCTGCAATATTGCTGAATATGGCGTTAAACAGAGAACACACAAAACGTAGTTGTTAACCACTTTTTTAAACCTAAGAGCACGGGTTATGACAATTTAAAACGAGAAATATAATCAGGGTAAAATATTTACAGTAGGTATGATACAGATTAAGTATGCAATGTACTTTCTATTATAACTGTGAGCTGAAATACATATATTTGCAAGAATATTTGACTGTATTTATCTTAACTATTCTGATGCAAGTTTTGGACATCTCAGGGAGAAGTCGGTTTGAGCTGAGAGCTATGTAAGCATCAACTTAATGATTTTTCAACCGACTGTATGACACTAACCATCTTTCGTGGAAGACAACATGATCAACGTAACCGACTTAATGAATCGATTTTGTTCTGGAAATAAAACACATCTTCTTTACAGTATGCATCCCATGCAAGGGGAGAAGCCTATGTTATGTTGAATGCGAGTAGAGACCAACCTTTCCAGGATTCATCGTGAGTATACGCAGTTAAGGGATAGTTGGAGGTTAGGGCTGTTTATTCTGTTTATTCTATTGCACTATATGGTAATAGTACAGGTACCCGCATTACCATACGTATTGGCATAAATTTGGGAGTTAAAGTGTTTGACAGTGCGTGGCCCTGATTGCACATGCAGATCCTTACTAAGGCCCAAAAATACACTCTTCAAAAAAAGAAACGCATAGGTGATTTTGAGAATATTGGACTCATGTTGCTGCGGCAAGAACAATACAAATATACTATTTCATTCCCAAACGTCATCTTTGTGTGATGGTAAACAGCTTCAGCGCCACAACGCGGCAATTGTAACTTTTACCTTTGTTTTAGAAGCGTTTGAAGAAATATTCGCCAAAACGTCACCAATAAAACATGCAAAGCAAAATGCACGTGCAACTAAGTGGAAAAATATGCGGTATCGATCATTAAAAAATGCAAACGTTGACGTGTTTAATTTTGTCATTCGTTTTTGCCTGGAAAAGAGGAAATCATCATGCCACGACTGAGTGCCGCCAATCGAAACATCGCCATAGTCCACCTTGAAGCTTGGTTACAGTCTGCAGTTGCACTATATCACGCAATTCGTTTCATCAGAGGCATATCGGTCAACTCGGTACATCAACGAAGTCCTTGCATGTCCCATACTTCCTAGTATGAGCCGACAGAGGGAGTTGTTCTAGCATGACAACGCTACTTCACATAGAGAACGCGCCACGGTCCGCTACCTCGCCAATTCTGACGTCAGTGTCTTGCCATGGCCTTCCCGATCACCAAACCAATACCCGATAGAACACCTATGGGATGAACTCGATCGACGTGTACGTCAACGTCAAAACACGCCTCAGACACTTCCACAACTGGCCATCGCATTGTAGGAAGAATGAGGAAGAATTCCGAAAAGAGTGACTTCGTCGACTTACCCAGCCTGTGCCGAAACGGTGCCCAGTAGTAATTGCTACGAACGGTGTCAATACAAAGTACTGACTTTGACGGACTCAAGTAAACAGAAACACAACAATAAAGGTTGTTGTTGTGTTGGCGAATTCTTTGTCTAAAGACGTGTCAATTTTCACCTATTACCATTGAAATTACTGAAAATAAATGCAATAAACTAATGCAATGAATTCTTCTAAAAAAGGGCTCATGCGTTTCTTATTTTGAAGATTGTATATCGTTACCTTTATCCTACAACAAGCATCTCAAAATTAGGTTGGAAAGTTTGGGGCATCTTTCCTTTTTCTGTAATATTGAAAGTAAACCGTTTTGTCTACTGAGTTGGAAGGGAAACATTATTTCTGAATTAATGTCTGAGTAGATTTGTATGTAAATCACAAAAACTTGTCAATTTATTTATCCAGTATACCTGTAGTCAGAAAAGATATTGCAACCCGTATCGTTTAAAAATCGTAGTGCGATATACAGTACACTGGCAACACCGTGGAGCACGTGTGGAAATTTACCGTTTCTGTTCACAATGAAGTCAAAGAGGATAATTTGAAATATAATTAACCATAGTCTTGTGATATGTTTCAATGTCTCTTCAAGAATACAAGCTAAATGCTACATCCCATAATAACCGGTAAGCAATTTTCTTTTCTCTTCTTTTAGTTTCTTTGCAACGTGGGAAGTACCAAATATGAACGCCAGAATACTGTCAAAAGTCAATATTCTTTTGGTTCATGTGCCTGGACAAAAGATAAGGTATGTTTGAAGAGTATGAGACCGTAATATGTGTGTCTTCAGTTTTCTTATATATACCTGTATGTATGTTTCAAAGAACATACTTTGACGTTGAGAATCTCACAGACATACTGGACATTGGTAGCCAACCAAACAACGTAAAAGTGCCAGATGCAGTCCAACTTAAAAGTGCCAGAAGCAGCCCAACTTCAACTTAAAAGTGCCAGGTGCAGCCCCAACTTAAAAGTGCCAGATGCAGCCCAACTTAAAAGTGCCAGATGCAGCCCAACTTAAAAGTGCCAGATGCAGGCCCAACTTAAAAGTGCCAGATGCAGCCCAACTTTAAAGTGCCAGATGCAGCCCAACTTAAAAGTGCCAGATGCAGGCCCAACTTAAAAGTGCCAGATGCAGTCCAACTTAAAGTGCCAGATGCAGCCCAACTTAAAAGTGCCAGATGCAGTCCAACTTAAAAGTGCCAGATGCAGCCCCAACTTAAAAGTGCCAGATGCAGCCCAACTTAAAAGTGCCAGATGCAGTCCAACTTAAAAGATGCAGTGCCAGATGCAGTCCAACTTAAAAGTGCCAGATGCAGCCCAACTTAAAAGTGCCAGATGCAGCTCAACGTAAAAGTGCCAGATGCAGTCCAACTTAAAAGTGCCAGATGCAGCCCAACTTAAAAGTGCCAGATGCAGTCCAACTTAAAAGTGCCAGATGCAGCCCAACTTAAAAGTGCCAGATGCAGCCCAACTTAAAAGTGCCAGATGCAGTCCAACTTAAAAGTGCCAGATGCATCCCAACTTAAAAGTGCCAGATGGAGCCCAACTTAAAAGTCCAAGAAGCAGCCCAACTTAAAAGTGCCAGATGCATCCCAACTTAAAAGTGCAAGATGCAGTCTGATGAAACACTTGACAATATACACACATTTCATTCTATATCGAAGGATATTAGTTGCACACCCGGAAGTAAATACAGGGAATTTAGACAACGCACTTTAACGTAAACTGCATGTATATGGCATAGATTACATAATCAACAACATATGAAATCCCCGTTCGCTGACCGAAGTTGTGGGACAGGTGTTTGTCCAACCCATACTCCCAATAACCAATTCTGGTTCCATTGCCAAATGTTTCTGGGGGGTCTCTTTGTTTGTCGTTAACGCCGTAGTCGGCAATACTCCAGCTATATGACCGCAGTCTGTAATAACATCAAATCTAGACCTAACAATCAACATCATAAGAATTGATCTATGCAATTTGGATGCGATATCATGTGTCAACCAAGTCAGCGAGCCTGACCACACAAGTCCGTTAGGTGTCGCCTCTCAACACAAGCATGGTTACTGAAGACCAATAACCCGGATCTTCACGGGTGTTTATCAGGAGAGGACATAAACAAGTACATGTCATTTTAAGATAGGACCGTTACTTAATTTTACTCGATTTGTCGTATTTAGATCAACATGTAACAGCGTCAACATCTCTGGGCTGATAAAGCGACTGAGGGATAAAAATATTGCCTCTTCTTGCCAGGACAGCCCAAGGTAATTTTGTATAGAGCATTCCATTTCAGTGTGGGAAAAACCCACTGTCTATATGCAGTGGTATTCACGTTTCTTTAATGCTTTAAGACGAGTGTGTTGAGGTAAAACTTACAAATATGTGTCACGTGTAGGACTAAGAACATTTTTGCAGTGTCCAGACAAAGGTTGATGTGTAAAAACCTCTTAAAACATATTGTCTTGAAAAACATCTTTTGTGTTCTGTAATACTTAACATTGAAATGTTGTCCTCTTCATGCGATGATAATTTATTGCCTGATTTTAAGATGTTCAGGATCAGTTCACTATTCTTTTACACGACACATAATACCACTTACTTGTTTTAAAGTATATTTGTATGTGTATATGTGTCATTTATGATTCTACTATGATTTGTTTTGTATGTGTCCAAAGACAGTAGGTCCATCCAACACTTTCATGTTGAAAAAACGCTGAGTAATGACAAAGAAATGCAAAGTTCGTATTTAGTGCCTTGATCATTATTACTATTAGCAACCACTGACATGTTTTTTTCGATAGATATCCAGAATCCCACCCACAAACCGTTCGTAACGTTACGACCTGTCGTATCTCTATAGTTTACCACTGGCTTACGGATGTCGTAGCGCTACGAACGTTTTGTGGATCAGGGTTCAGTAGCTCAAATCTTCAGGGTCCATTCATTAGTGTTCTTTTGTATCTATCCCACAGAGGACCCCAAACCATGCTCTGTGTGGACCACCCAGCAGAAAAGGAGTGTGATACAGGAAAACCTGCAGGCAGTGTGTCTCACCCTGATATCATTGGTTGAACGCTGTTCTTTGGTCCATCTCTCTCTGTAACTGATTAAACGATTGATTCTTGCACAACTGAGCTCGTTACATAAAACAATGTTTTTAAACTGAGAAGCTTCACACTTCTACACTTATCAGGGCATTCCACTAGTTCACAAATCAAATCACAAATGACGATCCATGTCGGAAAGACTGCTATTTGATTTGTACAACATATCTTAATTCTATTTGTTTCATCTATTTATGTGCAGCTACATCGAAATGCGAGCACACTAAAACATGACAACATCCTTCCATAATCTTAATGGATTTCGTGTTATGTGGCAGTTTTTAAAAAACAAGTTGTTATTGATTATCAAAAACAAGTTTGGAGGCGACTGCTCTGAAATTGTCATTCCATATATGTGAAACCCGAGGACTACATGTATCAGTTTTCCACACACAAAAATAAGGTATGGCAATAATAAGAGTACTTTTATAGGCCTCATCCACATCACTCAGGGACATGCTCTAAGCGCATAACATATACACAGGTTCTATGTACAGGGAAGTTGGCGTTCATAGATTGTCACGGCGCCAACTACCGTCCAGGGAGACTGGACGGAAAATGATCCAGAATAGTAAACAAATACACAACCCGATTGTTGGATTCAACCATTTATTAAAGCTAAGTACCCGCTCAAGCATGAATGAGCTTGCACCTCAAGCACAACAAGAAGCCGCTAGAAACAATAGGTTAACTAGCTAACTAAACTCGCCTTAATAGGCTCCCCCAGGGATCAGACAATATATTGACAGGTGACACCTAATGAATGGGGATAATAAGGGGATAATAAGGACCTAACTACTGCCACTCACAGGGAGAGTATGGGGCCGAAAAACATTTAACACCTCAAGTGATCAATAGGTCAAACAAACCAGAACAAGATAAACCATCACAAAAAACAGTCTTGAGCTCCCAAGTTCGGTCCTCAGGTCGTCACACGATGCGGCGATTGACAACTGGGTAGCAGATCGACATGCACACAGCATGTCTACCCCGAGTGTGTCTGGACAAGTGGCCACGTCAAGCTATAACGTAACCGCGCGGACGTCGCAGAGGACAATACCCGACCCGAGGTGAAAGTTTGTATCCAGCCTCTGTCCAACAAAGAAGTGTGCTAATACTTGGGTACATAAACGACTATAACTAACTTGTAAGCGTATGTACAGTGAAGGGGAATACATGTGTAAGAAGAGCGTGAGCTCTACTACAATTAGATATAGGTGGGTATTGAGACAATAGTTTGCACAATTTTGTAGTTAGAAAAAACCTGATAAAATAAGGGGTATACATAAAGGTTGGAGTGGCATAAACGCTTATATCTCCCTTATAAAAACAGATCCAGTGACGGGAGTCACATATACGAAAAGCTAGTAAACTCCTCTACAAGAAGGTACAATGCATAACAAGCGAAAAGTAGCAACAGGGGACGCACGGCTCAACTAGATTAGCTGAATAAACAAATGCGCAGGCACTTACGGCCATGTTGCATAACACACACGCGAGTCGCGTGACACAGATACTTCTTTAAAATGTCAGTTTGGAGCTTGGACATAAAGACTGGCAGTGATGAAGAGGTTTTAAGATCTGATGGTAGAGAGTTAATGTGCCCTTAATATTAATCGTCGTACCATGAAACAAAATGATCAGTCTCGTGGACTGAAAGTGTTTTTGTTTGCTGTTTAAAGGCACACTATCACGCCACACTTCTCTAAAAATCAATATTGCATTTCTCTCATTAATGCTAACTATCAGTCCCAAGAGAAGCTACCATATGATTTATTCCGAAAAAAATTACGTATTAAGATTACAATATGAAATTATGAGTTCGAATGAATTAATGCAACGTTGCATTAAATCGACTCTCGCGCCCTCTACCGACCGAACTTTTCTTCAAGCAAACCCCATAGAGTTATGTCCCTTGGAACGCTCTTTACGAATATCCTGTAACGGAACTTGTGATTGAGGCCAGTTCGGCAAACACCGACAACACCGCGTGCGACAGTTTTCGATGTACGGAGCAATCGTTTTCATTCCATATATGGCAAGTGTTATCTGTTTGAAAGCTGTTCGCCTCGAAGTTTCAATTATCGATTTCAGTCAAGCCGTAAGGTATAATAAGTCTTTTATTGTATCAATAGAAGGCTAAAGTGAGTACATATGCCCCAATATATATATTATTGACCTAAATATTGTCGAAAATACGTGACATTGTGCCTTTAAGGCAACATTCAGCAGTATTTCAGCTTTATGATGCGATCAGGAAATAATCGAGTAGAGACCAGACAATCCGGTGACGGACATCTATCTACGCAAGTGGGATCTGATGACATGTTGCAACATTCCGTGAGGTAGTAGCATGTTTATACGACGTTCAGTATTTCAGAATATTGATATATTGCATTCTATGCGAGTAGTTTTAGTTAAATGTTGGCATGTGTTCTGACACTCCCGATAAAGAACTAGGGTTAGGATTTAATATGGACAAAGCTAAATTATCAAAACAACATTTAAATGCAATACATATGAACAATCAAACAACACCTGAATGCAATACATATATCGTCCGATCAGCAAATTTGGAAGTACGCCAAGCCAACGAATTCAACGTAATTGTTCTTTGAAACTGGGGCCAAAAGTAAAAGGCCAGTAACCATTAAAGCAAAAACATTTATGATTGGTTTCTTTTCATAAACACGGTTAGACCGATCCCATTAAGAAAAGAGGAAATTGTGGTCGTATTCAAACCTCTTCCTTCAATCATACCATAAATTAATGCATAACGAAATTACAGAGTAATCACTTCGTGTAAGCTAACAACTGCTTCATTGTTACATGGGCAAACAAAACTTAATAACAGTTTATATAAATCAGTGTTCTGTATTCGCACGAACTATCAATAAAATCTTTAGTGAAGAATCAAATTGGCTTCATGTATGGACCGGCTTGAAGTGATCATGTTCCAATACACTGTGTGCACAACCTGTCTGTATATGTCTGAAATTAGATTTCATAATCGGAATTATCAAGTTTTGTGTGCATTAAATTGTGTCGTCTTTCCTTTCTTCCTAATCTAGAGAAGGAACGACTCGAATATCTCGAATGACAGCGAAAACATGACATGTGACACTTGCATAGACCTCTGAAACAAGACATCATAGTTCGTAGCTAAGCTAAGTGACATTGATACCATAAACTCTCTATGGACTATTTTCCTAGCAGGAGAATCGGCTGCAAATGGTAAGAATGTGACAAGAAAGGAAACTGCGTTTATGGAATAGCCCGTATCTGTTTCCCCTCCATAGCTAGCCAATAGTGATGGTATATTCACATATTCCAGGAAACTTCTTGTTACATGAAATGGGAACGTAACCATACTTGGTGACCCCTAAACAGTGAGCCCCTGCATTTTGTGGTTGTCCTGGAATCCATGGCTCAGTGACATCTGACCGATCACTCCATCTCCAAACACCGTCTGGATTCACGTTATTAGCGCCAACGTAATATGGTCCTAAAAGTAGATTGATTTATGTTTAGTTAGTTGACTTCAAGACATAGAGAAGAATGGACAAAACAACATTGCGTCACTTTGGGTAGAGTGTGAACAAATGCTTTTCGAAAGTACAATGGTTCGGAGCAATATTGTCACAAGAACCAAACACACACAAACATACTTACCCCCACTAGCCAACACTTTGACCTCACACAGAGTCAGTCCAAAGAAACCTGGCAGTTTGACAATGCGAACGTATCTGCCCAACACCGGCGAGTCGCACAAAATGTGGCTCCAGATCCCTGGAGTCAACTTCCTTCCTCTGTAGTCGGCACAGTTATGGTCGACCTTTGATACGTTGGATCCTGGATCTTCCATATAGACGTTAATCAAGAAGTTGCGGACATCTTTAACTAAAACATTTTGACAGACATTTGAAAACCAATAAGCAAAATCCGTATGGCAACAGGTACTTATTTGATTCTAGTTTCTTTCTCATTCGGATCTTTCTTAGGAACAACTCAAAATTTCATACTAAAAATCATCGAAATAATATACTAAGTCCTTTCATGCATTTACAAACATATTGATGATGTAGTAAATGTGAAGTTAAAACTGTTACTTTTCGGCCAACTAAGCGATAGAATCGTTACACATCTACATAAATTACTTCACACAGAATGTAATTACAATCGGGGCCCGCATCACTTCGTGGTAGAATGTCAACTCTCTGGACCATGGTGATGCTTGTCAGGTCCACTTGCCACCAGTTTATTGTAGTATTGTCATCATGTGTAGTACTACAGCTGCCCTGATACCAATTAGTCACATAATTGCCATCGACAGCTAACTTGGAATGGAATGTTTGTTTGTTAAGACGATATGTCGAGCTTTGCGTGGTGGGCTTTCCTCTTGCAACGTCAACATACCCATCTACACAAAGAAACCACAACGGTGATATGCCACCCATATACTATTTGAACAACTGTATTCTGTTTCATCTGATACATCTAGATATCTATCGTTTAAGTTATGTATCCAGCAGACTTCATTATCATCAAACACTGCTAATTAACACCTTGCCTTTTGGCCATTACCAATCAGTGGGTATTACCGTTTAGTACTAAATGCTTTGCTCGCTAGTTGTATTCATATCTGTGATTCTCTAGTATTTTTACTGTCCATCGTCGACAGGTTATAATCTTCAAAACGTTTTTCTCTTTATATTTTATAAATTGTTTTCGTCACGATATGGCTGAGATATTGCCGATGTGAGGTTAAATATTAACTCACTCACTCACTCACTCACTAGTACTAAATTATTCCTGGGTTACATTTGTCTACTGGGATTACCAATCAGCACCAATTTATTGTTGGCTTCCTTAGTGTATGGTATTACTTTTGTTGTTCTCACATGTACAAATATAAGGTCTCTGCCCTAGCTCTTTGTGTCTGATGAAAGAATAAGAATGCAATCCGAAAACCTGGGTTTCTTTATGATAATGAAGTTGACATAAAAACATTTTAATATACACCGTG